CGAAGAAGTGTGGTAAATGAAGATTGAATGGCAGTATTATCCATGTTACTCAGCTAGCACAGGAGGAGTACAGCACAACTCGAGAATTCTGCAAAACTCCCCTTTCCTTCCCTCCCCCTCCCCCCTTCCTCCCCGGCTACGTACGGCACCGGTTCCTTGCACGATACGCACGCACACTGCGCACCAAGCCACCAGCAATTCACTATCCACCCTTTCCAAGCACGGGCAACGTTGCCCGATTTTCCTGGCACGTCGCCAACTGCTTGTCTCTGGCGATACGAAATAATGTTGCCAGAGATGGCAGAAGCCTCATTGGGAGGCAAAACACACCGGCCGAGCCGAGCCGAGTTTTAGTAGTTGCCATAAACTGCACCCACTGGAACTTCAAATTTAGCAAAGCGATATAGCAAAGAGTAAGCCAAAGACGTCTTTCAGCGAGCAAGAGCCAATTACAAGTCGAATAAAAGGAAAAATTCGCAAGTCGCTAGCGGGTTGTGCGCAAAGTAATATTTGATGTTACTGGCAAATTTCTGGATTCACCCCTGTCCTGGTGCAATTATCTCACATCTGGCATTCAGTTTTGCCAAGATATTCGTTTTGCATAATAAAATAAACTCTGCACAGCTGGCGTTTGTTGCTCAACTTTCGTTAGTGTCCGCGCTTTGTGTTAACCGGCATCCTTTTTTGATGTCCGCCGCGAGGAGGGCGAAGAAAATGTCTCTTCAAAGGTCAGGCGTTTGACCCCAATACGAAAATTTGCGAATGGGGCGAGAAAGCTCGAAGTATGGACAAGGGTGACTGATCCCCGCGGGATGGCCCTCTTGCGCCATCTTTAGGGCTTCGGCCCAACATTGTTGTTTTAAATCAATTCAGACGAGGTGGCTGGAGGCCCCTTAACGCTATGGTGTGGTTTTTTCATGAGGGGGCTAGTGGTCTCTGGAGCCTAGGAGACCTCAGTTTATTTATTTTATTACGACTTGCATCCGCGAGCGGTTGGAGGCTTTTTTCGACGATTTACCGGTCGCGACGATAAGGCCACGGTCAA